GGATTACAAAATAAGCCAAGAGGAGACTGGTTTTCCTTTGCTAAATTAAAGAAACGTTGCTTCATTTGCTCCTGTTAACAAACGTTGGTTTTCACGAGACTCACCGGCGCATGCGCAACGCTGACCTCATACGTCATCCGTCCGGAGCTGCTTCTGTGTACAACAGTGAGCGCAAGCTAGATTCAAGTGATTATTACGTTTTGAATATGGATATTTTTCGTACAAAAACGCATCGATTCGCTATAGAAGGCCTTTGTTCACCCCCCGGAGCCGTGTGAGACACTGTTTTTATATGGACGGACGATTTTTATTTAAGTTCTTTTGGACTGAAGCAATGCAACACCCGCTGAGTGGCATTAAACAGCTTGAAAGATCAAAGACAATTTTTAATATAACTCCGACTGGATTCGTCTGAAAGAAGAAAGTCATATACATCTAGGATGCCTCGGGAGTGAGTAAAACACAGCTTAATTTTCATTTTTGGGTGAACTTAACCTTTAAGTAAAGATCATATTCTATGCAAATATTTTGTAAATTTCCTACTGTAAATATATAAAAACTTAATTTCTTATTTATTCAGCTTTCAGATGATGTATAATTCTCAATTTAAAAAAAATTGACCCTTATGACTGGTTTTGTGGTCCAGGGTCACAAATGTAAGCAAAAAAACAGTTATGAAACACAAAGTTCATGAAACAAAGAAATGGTAACATACAAAATTATTAGAACATAAATTGTAATAACACAGAGAATTATAACAAGAATTATAACAAAACAAATATGAGATCTTGTCCCTACCTATATGTATATAAAATACTCTCATCCTAAGAACCATTTTCTTGGTTAAAATTTATCTTCATTATGTAGTTCACCCCTTCATGAATGTTTTATTGTGTTTGCTTTTTTCAAACAAATATTATGTTTGAAGATAATAGTCATAAACGTATTCTCATTAATGGCATTGTTTAAGCTAATATACAAAACCTATAAAAACAAGCATTTGTGTAATTGGTCTTCTGAGACTTATAATTAATGACATGCAGCCCTTGTGTTGACTTCTGTTTTAAAATGATTCACCAGTAATATTATGAATATTAATTTTGTCTTTTACAGCAAGGTTCCTGGTTTTATTCAGATGTTTGCTCCCGAAGGAGCCCTGGTTTTTCATGAGAAAGCCTGGAACGCCTACCCATACTGTCGCACTAGTTAGTAAATACTAATTGTTTTGTGCATGTGTGAGTAAGTGATTACATATGAATGAGTGTATAATTCTACCCTTTTCTTTTGCATTTAATGCATTGTTAAATTACTGATCTATACAAAAAAAAAAAATCCCTTTTCTCATCGTCAATATGATTGTTCTCTTCATTCCCACAACTGAATCGATTATGGAACACCGCAGTCGTTACAGTAAGTGTATTTTTGAAATCATCACGCTCTGAGATCATTCTAGACTCCTCACAGGTTGTATTTGCTAAATCAGAGTTTAGTCAGCATGTCTCACTGTTTTGATCTAACCACTGTATTAAAAATGGATTCAGTTTGTGAAGCTCTCCTTGTGCTTTTTGCTTTTCAGAATGAATACATGAAGGATGATTTTTTCATTAAGATTGAAACTTGGCATAAACCAGACATGGAAACAACTGAGAATGTGAGTGTTAATACACAGTTCATCAGCACCTTTACATGATGCCAAATAACTCAGAGGCAACAGTCTTTCAACCAGAGCGTCTTCCACCATTTTTTTAAGTCTGTGTGCAGCACAAATGCAGTCGTTAATAAAAAACATTAGAATCTGCTGTTGGTTAATTAAGATGGTGGGTTGATGAATTAACTTGTGCCTTAATTAGATTTGTTTATTAAATAACATGTTCATTTTGATAAGACCTTCCTGTGTTATGGACTTCATTACCAAGTTCAGCCATTGTCACTATGATTACAGGCTTTATTCACGGTTGATGCAAGAATAGAAGAGAGGTCGGACTTAACTTGTTTGTTCATACAAATGTCATTTGATCCTGTTGTATGAATAGGGCAATTTGGGAGTAAATCCCACTGAAACCATGTCTTTATTTTAATGTTTTATTCTTCCTATCATGCAGCCTCATGGTCTTCCCCCTGAGGAGTGGGAGGATATTGAGATTGTGCCGATCGATATAGCTGATCGCTCTCAGGTGGATGATGTGGTGAGCTGAATTAGAAAAGTCTTTCTGTGAAACTGTAGATCCTGAATTTGTGTTAGTGCTAAAGACGGTCTACAGATTTAATCTTATTCTACCTCATGTTGAGTTCATTAAAATCCTACATATTGAAATCAAATCATAAGCACAGATTCCTCTGTTGACCTACTGTTTTGTTTCTTTTGTATTGCTCCTCTTCCTTTGTCATCCATTCCCATTCACTCATCCCTCCATCTCTGTTTCATTTGTCTATCAGGACTATAAACCAGAAGAGGACCCTGCTGTCTACCACTCTGAGAAAACTGGCAGAGGACCTCTGGGGCCTGAATGGAAGGTACACAAACACGCCATATTCACATGTGTATGCATTTTGAAACACAACAGGTCTTTTGTTAACCCTTAGTGAGCTGCCTTGATGAGTGCTGCCTATATAGAAAACACGCTTCTACATTTTGGTCACATTTGTCTTCTACATTGGCCACATTCTGGTGAATTTTGCAAGGAGAAAGGTCCATTGCCTATTGTCAGTAGTGTAGTGATGTATGATGCACAGCACACACAGAATTCACTTTCACACCAAATCCACGTGGGGAAATCATTTGTCCTCATGCAAAATTCCAGATCGTGTGGATTTCTATTGAAATAACTGGATTTTTTCTCAGTGAAAATTCAATGAACAACAGTAAAATGTGACTGCTGCACCTTAAGGCATCATCCTGCAAACTTTTGTTAATGGGTGAAGATCCTTCTTTATGCCTGATTTAGTTTGATTTTTGTTTATCACAGGTAATATGTGACCCTGGAGCACAAAACCAGTCTTAAGTCGCTGGGGTATATCTGTAGCAATAGCCAAAAATACATTGTATGGGTCAAAATTATCGATTTTTCTTTTATGGCAAAAATCATTAGGATATTAAGTAAAGATCATGTTCCATGAAGATATTTTGTAAATTTCTTACCGTAAATATATCAAAACTTAATTTTTGATTAGTAATATGCATTACTAAGAACTTCATTTGGACAACTTTAAAGGCAATTTTCTCAGTATTTTGATTTTTTTGCACCCTCAGATTCCAGATTTTCAAATAGTTGCATCTTGACCAAATATTGTCATAACAAACCATACATCTTATTTATTCAGCTTTCAGATGTTGTATAATACCCAATTTAAAAAAATTTACCCTTATGACTGGTTTTATGGTCCAGGGTCACATATGTATATACGGTTTAGTTATTTATTTTGTTTTCTATTTTTTCACTTGATTCTCGCCTTAAATATATCTGTGGTGGCTGGCATGGTACTAGAGTAACAGCTTTCCATTGTAATTACAGTAAGCTACTTTTTTTATTGATGCTTTTAAGTACTGAAAGAAGTTTATTTGAAATCAACATTTCTCTTGCCTTGTATGACATTTTGGATTTATTTATTTTTCAGAGAACATAGCTAATGTTGTCATTCAGTCTTGTATGCACAGTTTCTGTTCACATTGATTGTTTTGAACTATCCAAATGAGTAATTATCTACAATATCTGTTCCTCATGCACCCACCCCTCTCTCTGTGTCTTGCAGAAAGAGCTTCATAATGGTAACTGTCCCTACATGACAGCGTACAAGCTGGTGACTGTCCATTTTTTAAGTACTGAAAGAAGTTTATTTGAAATCAACATTTCTCTTGCCTTGTATGACATTTTGGATTTATTTATTTTTCAGAGAACATAGCTAATGTTGTCATTCAGTCTTGTATGCACAGTTTCTGTTCACATTGATTGTTTTGAACTATCCAAATGAGTAATTATCTACAATATCTGTTCCTCATGCACCCACCCCTCTCTCTGTGTCTTGCAGAAAGAGCTTCATAATGGTAACTGTCCCTACATGACAGCGTACAAGCTGGTGACTGTCCATTTTCGCTGGTGGGGTCTGCAGGGACGTGTGGAGAACTTCATTCATAAGGTGATCCATCAGCACTGAAGATTTCAATATGGCACCAGCACAGAAAGGCTCAACTTTCTCTTTTATACTGTACTGGTTGACTTTCAACAACAGCTCATCTGAGTCATAGAGACATTTCTATCACATATCCCTATAGATACTGATGGATCAAAAATGAGGACCATGTATTATCTGCATAAACCACTAAAAAAGAGGAATATCCATCCCTGAACAGCTCAATTTTTACATCAGAAACAAATGCTATCATATTGGCATTGGATTACATAAAGACTATGCAACAGAGAAATGTTCTTATAATTACAGATTCAAAGTCCTGTCTTCAAGCAATGACATCAAAAATGATCACCCAGCTCTTTTACAAACTGCTGGAACTACAGGGTCATAAATGTAATATCTGGTTTTGTTGGATGCCTGGGCACTGTGGAATGACAGCAAACGAGGAAACGGACACTGCCACAAAAGAGGCATTATCAGCAGACCTCAAAACTTAATTCATTCCTATCTTAATAACAAATAACAAACAAAATGGAATCTGTATGCTGTGAAGTATGAACAATCTACATGAAACCAGATTTTTTTAATACCTACTGCTCAATGGACCATTCCAGGATGACACAAAAGTTTTTAATATAAGGAGAACATCCACTAAAATATGTTCTTTCTGCCAAAACTCTTTATCCCTGAAGCTTGTTTTATTAGATCGTGTTGGTTTAATCCCTGTGAGGAACCTTTTTTACTCCATTAACACTTATGAAGAAATGTTTTAACAAAGTTAAACCAAATATAATTTGAGTTTTTAGCAAAAATAGATTGTTATTAATAGTTAGTGAGGTAGTTTAGGGGTGGGGTAGGCTTAAGGGACCTAAAATATAGTCATGCAGGCATTAATATGTGCTTTATATGTACTAATAAACAAGCAATAAGCTAGTAACTAATAAGCAACTAATTATTATTGCGAATTGGTCCCTAAACTAAAGTCTTACCCAAATATTCTCACCATGAAAATAGCCACAGAAGCTGGAATAATGTTAAAGAACAAACAAACAATGCTGTACTATTTTGATATAATTTTGGTGTCAGGTCTTTATTCATGCTGTTGTACTAATATCAACCCCATCTCTCTCTCTGTGTTTGAGTAGCAGGAGAAAAGGCTTTTCACTAATTTCCATCGGCAACTCTTTTGTTGGCTGGACCGCTGGGTGGACCTCACTATGGATGACATTCGTAGGATGGAGGAAGAGACACAGAGGGAGCTGGACCAGGTGTGTGTATCTGTAGAAACCATGCAATGTAGTTCTTCCCACATCTGCAGAATGACTGCAGGACATTATAAATTATTGAGAAGATTAATGGAGATTATTTTACAGTCTTACCAGTTTTTTGTGACATAAAGCTAGACTTGGGTCGTTTTGATGTGTTTGAAAAGTCTATTGTGCGCTTACCAAGGCTGCATTTATTTGGTCAAAAATACAGTAATAATTTCTCCTTTCCTCTATTTATGCTGATAATAATGTATTCTTTTTTCTAGCTTGCTTTATAACACTTTACAATAATGTTTCCTCATTTAACTTTAGGTAACTACATTAGAAGTACTTTTAATTGTTAGTTCATGTTAACTAAGCTACTTAATATCAACATTTACTAATACATTCAAATTAAAAGTTGCATGTTAATATTTTTCAATAGACTTGTGCTAACATGAACTGACGAAGAAGTTGTATTTTTATTAGCTAATGTTAATTAATTAATAAAGAAAAGATTTATTTTTTTATTAAAAGATTAATAAATGCTTTAACAAATTTACTGCTCATTGTTAGTTAATTTTAGTTAAAGCATTAACTAACATTGACTAATGAGACCTTACTGTAAAGTGTTACTGAAACTTTTCTTCTTATTATTATTAATGTTAAAAACAGATGTGCTGCTGATTAATATTTTTGTGAAAAATCATGATACATTTTCTTTGATTAATAGAATATAAAAAAAAATAGAAATCTTTTGTAACATTGTAGGCCTAAATGTCTTTACTGTAAATTTTGGTTAATGTGTCCTTATTGAAAAAAAAGTATTCATTTCTTGTTTTAAAAAAATCTTACCCCAAACTTAATGGTAGTTGCATGTGACAGATTATTATTAAATCTGTTTATTTAAATTTTCAGATGCGTTGCCAAGGGTCTGTGCGAGGGATGAAAGCAGGCGAGGACTAGGGAGAGCCAAAAAAGAATGGAAGAAACAAAATAGGGGCTACTTTGTTTTTATACCTCCTCCAGTCCTCATGGCCAATCACAACGTGCCACATCATCAAGCCCTTCCAAACAGGAAACTGTCATCCCTTACCCAGGACATGTCCATTACCATGAGTGTGAATGCGTTTAAGTGAATGTGCACAGTATGCATGTGTATCCGTGGTTTGTGCAGTCTGACTTTAAACCTCATCATTTGCTGCCAAATTCGTTTGGATTCACTTAAGATATATTAAGTGATACTGGCATTTCTTTTTATAATTAAGTATTATAACTGTTTAATGGTTTTTGGTTCATTTTGCAACCATCAGCTTTTTACTGAGTACGCCAGTGGAGTAACGAATCCCAAGCCTATTCCGCAGAGGAAACATTTCACTACATGGATTTTGAAGTAATTTACTTCTTAATTCTGTTAAATGTGTCATGTTGTTCAGGAAATATCGGTGGAACTTGTATATGCCTCAAGAGGTAGGATCATTGATGTCAGAATAAAGAGTAACTGAGATTAAAGGGAAACAGAAGGCTTGTTAAAAACTCATGCGGCTTAAAGCGTAACGGTTTTCTGGTTTAGTTACGGTGATCTTTTGGTTTGGTTCTGCACTGATTGCAGTGTGGATGTCATTGAGAGCAGTGGATGGGTATGGTTTCATTTTTAAACTATGTGTAAGAGCCTTGAAACCCCTCCCACCTTTGACTGACATACCACAGGCCACGCCCCCTTGTTCAGGTGGGGATGGTCTGAATTTTTGGAGAATGAAGTACAATTTACAATACTGTAACAACAAATAAAAGAAAACATCATTGACTACCATGACCTGTCTGCATCATTTGATTCTTCTGCACTGTTTGTAGTTTATATCAAGCTTTTGGTCTTTTTAAACTGCAAGCTGTTTTTCTACAGACAGAGTAATAAGGTTTAACAAGCACGATTTAACCATAAATAATGATTAATCATGATTCATGACTTAATTGAAATAATTTTATTATTTTACTTTTTTGCATGTAACAAAATAAAACTTAGATTAAATCCTCAATTTGGTTATGGCACCTTAAATGACCTCGCTCTCAGCGTCCCCTAATGATTGGGTTTTGTACTGACTTTAGTACAGAATAATACAGACAAAGCTGATAAGCTCCTTGTCACATTATTATCATGATGTGATACGTAATTAGCCTTAAACCTTTTAAGGCGTCAGAAAGTTCTGTGGACTGATATATAAAACAGACATTTCAAAAGTAAGTTTTAAATGCTGTATCGCAACTTTTGAATTGATCTTTGACTGATTTGTTTGCTAAGCCTATTATTAAACAAATGTAAATATCTCTTTCAGGCAATATGGTGACGCAGTGAATAGAGCAAAGGATGTACAGGTAAGCTGAATGACAAACTACGGCAATACTTATTTAGTAAAATGTAATCATGTTTGTTAATGTAAAGGGTGAAAGCAGAAGAGGTCTAGGTAGAGAAAGAGTTGAGGAATCAAAACGGGAGCGGTCAGGGATTTAGCATTAATGTTTGTTAATGTTATTAATGGATGTAATGTTATTAATGGATGTAATGTTAATGCAATTCAGGCTAGGCAAAAGGAAATCAAGTGTTTTATATTAAGGAGTCACATATCACTAGTGGGGTTTAGGATTGATTTTAAATCCGTGTATCATTCGTTCATTCCTTTTCTGATTTAATATTGAAAGTAGAAAAATGAAAAAGACAGCTCCTTTTTCATTTTTTTCCAAAGAATAAAAAACGAGAATTCAGCTTAAATTTTTAATTTTTAGTTCAGGGGTAGAAAAATGAATAAACAGCTTGAATATTCGATTTCTACATGTGGGCGGGAATTAAACGCCCCTTTCTGCTGATTGGTCAGCCGAAGATCAAACCGTGCAGTCATCAGTTCTTTTGCAGTATCACACAGCAGAATAATAGTCCTCTGCTGCTGCAGTTGTACGGATTCTTAACGCATTTATTGCAACTACATTTAATCTTTTTTCATCAAACAAACAGGCTAATGAATAGCTTGACACAACTCATACAGGGGCGAGGTCAAGACAGGGCTTTTTTCTGTGTAGTTATAAATTCTATTCTTTGCATCAGCTGGGCATGGCAGGGTATGATATGACAGCTGTCTTAGCCTACCCTGCTCACCCAGTAAGTCTGTTTGTTTGTTTGTTTGTATAATTAAGTAATTAATTAATTCATTTCAAAATAAATATTTTAAACACTAAGACAAAAAGGAAATGGGCATGGCAGGGTATGATATGACAGCTGTCATAGCCTACCCTGCTCACCCAGTAAGTCTGTTTGTTTAATTAAGAAATTAATTAATTTGTTTCAAAATAAATATTTTAAACACTAAGACAAAAAGGAAATAATAATAAATTGGCTTGTATATAGATAGGCCTATAATGTTCACGCAAGAACTGTTATTCTGACTGACAACCGGAGAACAACAGATATTAAATAGGCTACTGTTTTTGTATGAGTTTTATAATGTAGTCTTGTGTTTCATTATAATTGATTATAATTGATATCTCAAAAGGATATGCACTTGTGCACGGCGTGACACTCGCACTGGCACACAGGACTGCAATGCAAGATAGATTTTCATAAAATATAATAACTTGCCATTTCTGTTTGTTTCTCACCAAACCCACAGAATACCTTCAGAATGCTAGTAGTCACTCTAGTTCACACAGTTCCAATAAATTGCGATGGGTTGAATAAACTCAATAAGCAGACAGACGCGACTAGTCAAGTGCAGACCAGTATTGAAGTGCACAGGAAATAAGCAGCAGTCATATTTAAAGCAGTTTAAATATGCAGTTTAAATTAATATCGAGTACTGATTGATGTTCACTTGGATTTTTCCCCATTGAGGGGAAATAACTTAATACTCTGTTATAGTCATATGGTAAAATGTATATTTTTATTTGTGTAACGTTACGTTCAAAATGTCATGCATTTGAAAAATAACAACAGAATGCTCTGCTTTAGCGCGTCTCGGTCTCCTTGAGCATCTTTCTGGCTCATGCCACAAATATGAACCACAGGGAATACTTGTCTTTTAAAAGGCTTTATTTAGACGTTAAATTCATCATATAAGTCACTTTGGAATAAATCACAGTAGGCTAATGTATCATGATCAAAAAAGAAACTTTACAGTCCGAAAATACAGTAGGCTATAGCAATTTATTTCGCGGACCCCCTATCACTTTAAGAACCGCTGTACGAGTTGTGTCTAGCTATTCATTAGTCTGTTTGATGAAAAAATATGAAATGTAATTGCAATAAATGCATTAAGAATCCATACAACTGCAACAGTGGAGGACTATTATTCTGCTGCGATGGCAAAGCTGAAATTTCAGCATCATTACTCCAGTCTTTAATGTCACGTAATCCTTCAGAAATCATTCTAATATGCTGATTTGGCGCTCAAGAAATATTTCTTATTATTATGAATGTTAAAAAACAGTTGTAAAGCTTAATTCTTTTTTTTTTTTTTTTTTTTTTGGGAAAAAAAACATTTTTCAACTTTCAATATTAAATAAAAAAACGAATGATATTTTAGAAGGTAATCACAGTTCTTCATCTTGGTAAAAGTTCCAGCATTGGAAAAATTGGTAATAAGTAGTGAGAGAATTTGTCATTTGATGTATTTTATATTCAGTAAGAATGGAGAGATGCACCCCCCCCATTTTTTTTTTTTTTTTTAGAAACAAAACTATATTTATTATCAAATTGTGACTCAAGTCTTCCCACACACACACACAAAAGTGGTTCTTCAGCGGTTCTTTGAGGTGCCATCACAACTGCCATAAGAACCCGTGAAGCCGCTGTATAGTTCTTTAAAGGTTCTCTAACTCTCTCACTTAGTTTAATATGTATGTGTATTTTCTGAAGATAACATGGTTCTCAACCTTTTTGCCCCCAAGGCCCCCGTATAAGGAAATATTCCAGCGCCCCCACGCAAGATTTTTTTGACCTCAGAAAAGCATAAAAGTGATTCAAAACAGCTTTTGCCATAGACCTTTTTCACATTTTCGTGTTTCTCAGCAGCGGAAGTCAGTAGCCCCTCACTGCAGAACATAAGATCCAGGGGGCGTGGTTGGATCCACATCTAGGGGTTGGAGATGGGTGGGTTTAGGGATCAGGGGGTGGAGACGGGTTTAGGTATATGTAAAGTGGGAGGAGTTGAATCTGGATCCAACCACGCCCCCTGGATCTTGTGTTCTGCAGTGAGGACCATCTCGCGGAAGTCATCATTGTTGGGTTAACTTGAAGAGCAGTGAATAGGAGAGTACCACAAAAATATTTTTTGCATTCCCATTTGCTCAAATAGCAAAAGAAAAAAAACTCCACGATAGTGTTTTCACGACTTTCAATCAAAGGAAAAAATTGGGAGACTGATAACGGCAGTCAGAAGAGAGAACGATGTCAAATTTACTGTCCCTTTTTTGCGTAGAGAGGACATACAACCGCACACTCACTTGCAAATAAGCTTCTTTATTTTACCAAGGTTTCGGCTAAAAGCTTTTGTCAAGGTAAGGCAGTGAGGCAAGTGAGTGTGCGGTTGTATGTCCTCTCTACGCAATTTTGGTGTCTTCTGACCTGCACCTCCTATGGTGTGCGTGTGCTTGTTTATTTCATTAAGAAATTTACCATCCCTCCCATAGACGCTGCATTAGAAACACCCTCGCATTAGCGTTAACTAGTTTTTTTTTATTTATTTTTTTTATTTGATGCAAAGGTGATATAACACAAAGTATAGTGTTATAAATGTACATACATTAAAAAAAATCAAAATATAAAAAACTTTTGAGGATTTACGATGACCATTGAAACACGTCATCACAGTCTTGTGAAAAGGGTCCATTAGTAAAGTCCCATTCATAGCAAACATATGAGAATGGAGTTACATACCTGAAATCTAAGGAGGAGAATGAGGTTCCTCTTATGGTTCTGCATAACACCTTGAAAGATATGTGCTAT